GGGGGGGGGGGGGGGGGATTCTGGGGGAGATAAGTCCACCACATCTTAGGGCGGCTAAGGTTGAGAAACACTGATGTAGAGTCAAGCAGCCAAGTTGAATGTATCAAGCATAGCTGTTATGGAGAGAAGGCTCTTGAATTAATCCATCCAAAATCACTGGGCTAGAGCAAGAACCATGGCTGATGTCCCACCCAGAATGCCGAGCTCCACACACTTGCCTTACTCTGATCAAAAAAGGCCATTCTTGGGCTCTAAACCCCAGCTTTTCTCAATGAAGCCCACACTGTCAGGAACGTCATTCAGAACTGGTCTTTGGTAACCAAAAAGACAATTTTATTTCTCCAAAAACAAACAACACATTGAACCAGAGTCACGACGACGATACAGTAAATACATTAACAACAAACAACGTAACTTAGTGCGGAGCAATGGTTGAATTCGGGGGACGGGGGCTGCCAGATCCGTAGATTCTCGGGTGATTCTACGATGGGTAGGAGAGAGAAGAGGGGGGCCATCTGGGAGCAGGACTGGAGAAGAGGCTACCAGATGGCGAGGGATCCATCAAGGATCATTTCACAGAGCTGGCACCAACGTGAAATGTGGTGGCACTCTCAGGCAAAAGCTTCAGACATTGTGTTCTCTCTGCCGCACGTACACACAATTGTACCATTTCAAGGCAAGTGGGCAAAATGTCCATCAGAAAGAGGCAAAAGAGAATATCACTTGGACGCTCAGGGGCAGCAGACCTTTTGTTAAGCCTGAAGTGACAACGTAAAAAGGAGGATTGAAAAAAAAAAGAGGAAAGAGCTGAGTTCTGCCCAGTCTAATCCTAGAAAATGAGACAGCCTTTGCATTTCACAGTGCATTTGCCCCTTGGATGCACAATACAAGTAGTCCTCGGCTTATGACCATTTGTTTAACGACCATCCAAAGTTACAACACTGGAAAAAGAGATGACCAGTCCTCACACTTACGACAGTTGTAGCGTCCCCGTGGTCACGTGATCACTATTTGGGCACTTGACAACCAGCATGTATTTACGATGGTTGCAGCATCCCGGGGTTACATGATCACCATTTTCAACCTTCCCAGGGGCCTTCTGACAAGCAAAGTTGATGGGGGAAGTCAGATTCACTTAACGACTGCGGTGATTTGCTTAACGACTGAGGCAAAAAAGGTTGTAAAATCGGGCACGACTCACTTAACCATCATATCACTTAGTGATGGAAGCCCCGGTCCCAGTTGTGGTCATAAGTTGAGGACTACCTGTACTGCCACAAGTCAAGGAGAAGAAAAGTATGCTGTACAGGAGCCTTAATTCTGAAGAGAAGTTATGGGGGAGCTCTGCTGGCAAAGTTATTTCAAATACATCCCACTGCAGAAAAGGGGTATAGCTCAGCCTTAAATCCTGCAGAAATTATGATATTTCACAGAGTCCAGCCCTTGTGACCAAAAGATACTTTCAGAAACTTGCTTTGCAGTGCAGGATAGGTAACAACTATTAAATGCCAGGCAGTCCAAATAACACTGAAGTGGAGTCAACCAAAGAATTAAATATAATAAACCCCCAAGCACTTTTGTCTCAGTTTAAGGAGTAAGTTTCAACTAGTTGGAAACATTCTTTTACACTCTTCTCAAGAGAAGACCTGTGCAGAAAGTTTGCAAATGTTAAGTCCATGGCTCTTGTGAGTTCACAAGAAAATATACGAAGTAAACACAATATATATATGGTATACCAAACTGGAATTTCTGAAAGGAAGCCTGCAATGTGTACCCCAAATGCCTGAAAAGCCCTGTTGGTGGCATCTGACTAGCCTGTCTTATAAGATAGGTTCCACAAATGAATCCTATGTACCATTGCTTTGGCTTAAAACAAAACAAGGCACCTGCAAACACTATTCTGGGTTCTCTGGGTACACTGGCTTCAGGGATAATTGTTCCTGGGACTTAGCATAAACCGTAACACTTTGGACTGCTGTCATGGAGGACTTCTGAGACACACTCCTGGTATAGGGATCTGGCCAATGGAAAAAGTAATGCAGATTGCATCTCTCACCCAAGCAAACTCTGCACCAAGGAGGTACCAGAAGAAGCTGTTTTGGCTATTAAGCTCACCCCCCGCCCCCAACTATACAGTCTAGCTGGAGCAACCTTTGGCCAAGCCTGCAACAGTTAAATTTAGCTCTTGTAACCCGAGTTGTTTGCTCCAAAATGAATCTTATGTGTATTTCAGAAATGCCTGGAAAGGTTCAAATTTTCCTGGGAACCCAACTTCATCATAGTTACTATTTGAAGCTGGTTATTGCTGAGCAGTAGTTACAAGGGGGGAAGGAGGGGGCAGATTCTTGCTTGTTGTGTATGACTTCAAGGCTTAATACCAGTCTAAAACTTAGATTTGAATCCCAAGATTTCAAAGAAAAAGGAATTGGCAAACTAGTGGTGAGGAACTTGTGGTTCTCCAGATGTTGGCTTATGACTTCTATAATTTCCAACTTTTAGGCCACAAGGGCTAAAGCGCACAGATGTTAGCAACCCATAATACCTAAAGGAGTTCCCCTCTCCTGTACTAAGTATACAGAGTGAGCAAAAAGGCATCGCTGAAGTATTCCAGGATTTAGTAGAAGTTTTCACATGGGAACACACTGAAATGTAATACTGGAGAAAAAATTTAAAAAGGAGCCAGGCGCCAGAATCTAACGGACATGTAAGGAGACTTCTAGTCTTCCAGCTGTTGGACTCCAACTCCTACCAGCTCCTGCCAGCATGCCCAAATGCCAAGTCCATGGGAGTTAGGATAAAAATATTTTAAACCCTCACATCCCTAGATGCTAACATTTGAAATGACGGACATTTAATTCCTTCTCAAAGTAGAAAGAGTAAGCAATAGCGGGAAGGAGAAATTGCTTGACAGAAGTAACAAGCTCAAATCATGTTTTCTTTCAGCTTAGTGAGCAACTCTCTTTTGAGCAGGCCTGATAGATTTGCCCAGAGAAATGAGTTAAATAAAACTATGGACCCTCTGTAATATTGCTTGAGGCAAGGGTAGGGGTACAGGAGGGAATGAAAGAAACATAGTTTGAATCTTCCCCACCCTGCTCTCTAGTTGCCAATACCCTGATGAATATCATAAGGGCACGATGTTTAGGTCCATTTGACCATAGCAGAAGCCCCTGTGTTATCTACGTCGGGCAAGATTTGCTGTGCTGCTGTTGAGGGATCACATTTTTGCATCTGACCGTTCCAACATTAAGGCCCTGTTCCTCCCACACACAAGAGAGGGGTCAGCACTTCAAGAAACAGCAGAATCCAATCAATGAGATATAGGGAGTTAGCAGATCAGTGGAGAGTTCACATGATCAGGCTGATCAGCACAAAGCTATGTTCTGTGAGCACAAGTGGGTTGATGCGAGGTCAGTCTCCCATCTGGCTGCCAAAACAGACAAAGGTCTAGGGCCTCAGACAAAAACAGCTTCTCTAGGCATCTCTGTTCTTTTTATTGCTTCCCCCTCCTCCAGCCAAACAGGGCAGGGCAAGGCAGAAAGGGCTGAGGACAAATAAAAGCTCATTCTACTCTGATTGGGGTAGTACTGAACCCAATTGGGCCCTGTGGATTTTTAAACATTTTTGTTACAATGGAAAGAGGAGGGGAACACCACTAGCAAATGTCAGTGGTGGTTAGGGGACAACAAATATGGGGACTCACCACCTGACCATGTCCTCAGTGATCGTATGCTGCTAGCTCAGGCGGATGAGTCAATTGCTCAAGGCAGTGGTGACTTGGGCTGGCTTGTTGTATGAACAAGGTCTAAAAATTCCCTGCAAATAAAACACCAGCACGCAGGAGAAAGAAACTAAACCAAGCTTCTTTCATGCTAAATTATTTTATTACAGAGGGTAGGTTTAAAAAAAAGTAGGAAAAAGTTTAAATTGCACTTCTGGCACCTATCATCTGAAATGATACAGACCACTTCTCAAGTCTAGTGTCTCATTTCACTGCATGAATAGATCAGGTGAAGATCTTTCAACAATATCTCTTCCAGCCACCAAATTTCTAAGTTGTCTGGACTATGCCATTACTATCTCATCGAAAAGGAGATGGGCTTCACAGGTGGGTGGAGACATTCCCATTTCTAAAGCCAACAATGCAAGCTTTCAGAATAGCAGGGAGCAGACTGTAAAGAAGATAAGAGTTTCACAATGTCCAAAGCTCAAACACTTGAGCAAGAGCAGATAATGGGATCTGTTGATCAGCCAAACAACACAGCATTACATCAGGAACGGATCTTCTTAAAAAGGGACAAGAAAAAAAAGAGGACAGAAGCAGATGTCCTCGGGGGATTGGGGGGGATTGGGAACAGAGATTCCTATACTTTAAGCTAGTTTTTTGATCTGGGAAATCAATCCCATGTTAAGATAGTCTTCTCTCTCATTGGAGGGTGGGAACAATAGGAGGAGAGAATATTCCAGACAACCTAACAACAAACCCACATTCTTTTTCTAGTTTGACCTCATCTGCAAGCTACCACTCACTCTGTGGCTGAGAGATTTCCACATTCCCAAGGAGAACATTTGAAGTACAGTCATCTTGGGATCTGAAGTTTAGAAAGAAGAAATGTAGTGTAATCACCAGTTACACTAGTGACCAGTTTGTTTTAAATCCAGCACATCCATTGCCATCACCACACACCCAGGGCACATCTCTGTCCCCTACTGTTAAGAGAGCTTCAGGGGTTACCCGCTTGAAATGTTCAAAGTCCTACATTCAAAGTTCTGCAGCAAGTTGAGACCAAAGAGAAAGAGCAATGCCGTGTCCATAGCAGAGGGATCTCTTTGGTGATCTTTGCCTCAGCTGGTTCAGGACCACCTTCATTGCAAAAGACATAGACAGGACACTGGGTATTCATTGCACGATTCACCAAAATGCTGCCTACGCCAACTTTGGTGCACATCAAGCCGATCATCAAGAGACATCAGCATGGAACCCAATGACTTTCCCAAATTTTCCAACAGTAGCTGGCCACCTCAGCATCAAGCTTCGAAACCATGGGCCACCATTGGCAAAACCAAGAAACCCCAGACGGAAACCAGGTGACGATGGGAGAGAAGTTGGTTTCCTTCACACATCAAGGGAACAGTTCACTCTGAACCCACCTCTGCCTCAGTGTCACTTTTGGCAGAGCTGCTGAAAAGACCATCCCCACACAAACACTTCCAAAAACAGCCACAGGTAGAAGGGTGAGGTAACTCGATTTTTTCACAAGACATTCCAGAAACAAGTCTTTGGAAGAAAGCTCCCTTGTCCAGGAGCAAGGCTGCCTCGCACAAGAACAGGGGGAGTCAAGTCCAGTCAGGTCATGTAGCGGGTGATGGCACGCAGGGCGTATAATAGGGCCGCCTGCATGCGGGCCTCCAAAAGAAGCAGATTGACGTGCACCTGAAAGACAAGGAGAGGCATGATGGAAAGCTGTGTGAGATTTGCAACAACCAGAGACCAAACAAGGCCTGGCACCAAACCTTGGCATCCCAGAACACTGCTGAGATCTCAAAGGGATCCACTGCTAACTCTTGACCTAGCATGCCCTTTGTTTGGTCCTTGTTTTATTTTCTTTTAGGGATTACAGCTGAGTGCTTTGCAGCTCCATTTCTAAATTTTGACATGTCCCTACGGCACGGGTAAGCCAAGTCTTGGCAGTTGAAGATTGCATTTAACCTTTGGGAGGAGCTCAAAGATCGCACAGGGCTCGGCCGATGATGCAACTTAATGGGTGGGGCCCAGATGTTTATTCTCCTGGGTTTGCAGGTGGACTTTAAAGCCTGTCTTTTTGTTGTCGTTATTCTGCTGCATTATGCGTACGTTAGGCTTATACTTCAATTGTTATGTGCTTCCTGCCCTAAAAGATCAGAAAATCATGCCCTTCTGAGAAATTGAAATCTTTTGCTCAAAGCCCTGCAGAAATCCAGAGTACTGTTGTTGCTAAGTAGGAAAAAGGCCACCAAATATAGACACACACCCCCAATCTAGATTTTTTTAAAGATATTTCTTTATTAAATCGATTTATATAGCCGCCCATCTCATCACAGGCAACTCTGGGCAGCGTACAACAAAACTAAAAACAGTAAAATCCATTAAAAATATATAAAAATAAAACAGACTAAAAGGAAGTTAAAAATAAGGGAGCCACCTCACTAATTCCCTTTATTTATTAAATACTTATCCCATCTTTATTAGTTTTATAAATAACTCAAGGCAGCAAACATACCTAGCACTCCTTCCTCCTCCTATTTTCTACACAACAACGACAACCCTGTGAGGTGAGTTGGGCTGAGAGAGAGGGACTGGCCCAAAGTCACCCAGCCAGCTTTCGTGCCTAAGGCAGGACTCAAACTCAAAGTCTCCCACTTTCTAGCCTGCTGCCTTCACCACTAGACCAAACTGACTCCTCCTATCGCTCCAATCTTCCTTCTTCTCTTCTTTTCCCTGTCCAAAACAGGGCCGGTTCTGTGCCATCTTTTGCTAGCCATAAGTAAGAACTCTTGCCAAGAGCCAATATGATATCATTAATGTATGAATGTCTTTCATATAGCTATAGGGAAATGGTATAATACTAACACACCAGATGGAGACCAAAGGAAACCAAGTCCCCATCTCAGCCCTCAAGCTCACAAGGTGACAATTGGCCAGTTCCTATTTCTTAGTGGCTGGTTTCCAACAACTAACTAAGCTTCAGTTGGCTTGTTGAATCTACCATGGGCAGGTTTCATAGGACATGCTCAACCAGTGTTTTTCAAACTTGGCAACTTTAAGATGGGTGGACTTCAACTCCCAGAATTCCCCAGCCAGCCATG